CCCCCCCTCCGCCCTGCGCCAACCGGTTGTCCATTTGGCGCCACCAGCCGCCCACCCGGACACCAACCACCGCCCAGCCCACCCGCCTGCCACCACCATCACATCGAAGCCAGTTTCCAATTATGACCACGATCCCGATCCGATCAACGCCCCCCTTCCCTCCCTCCCCTCCGATGCTCAACACTGTGACAGCTGCCCTTCGGACCAAGCTACCCATGGCTGCCCTCGCGCCGCCGGCAGCAGCTGCGCTGTTCTCGTCGGCGGCGTCGTCGGCGTCGGCCGGCCCGACGTCGTACGAGAACCCGCTGGTGGGCCGGTACTCGTCCGAGGAGATGAACTACAACTGGTCGCCGGCGAAAAAGTTCACTACCTGGCGCAAGCTGTGGGCGGCGCTGGCACGTGCGCAGCACGAGCTTGGGCTCGATGTGACGGCCGAGCAGGTGGCCGAGCTCGAGGCCCACATCGAAGACATCGACTACGAGGCGGCCAAGGCCAAGGAGAAGGAGATCAAGCACGACGTCATGGCGCACATCTACGCGTACGGCCTCGCCGCACCGACGGCTGCGCCCATCATCCACCTCGGGGCCACCTCGTGCTTTGTCGGCGACAACACCGACCTCATCCAGATGCGCGACGGCATGCGCCTGCTGCAGGCCCAGCTCCTTGACCTCATCTCGGTCGTCCGCGACAACGCGCTCAAGTACGCCCACATCCCCACTCTCGGCTTTACCCACTACCAGCCGGCGCAGATGACGACCGTCGGCAAGCGCATGGCGCTCTGGCTGCAGGACTTTGTCATGGACTACCACGAGCTCGCCTACCTCGCTCACACCCTCCCGTTCCGCGGGGTCAAGGGTACGACGGGCACCCAGGCGTCGTTCCTGGAGCTCTTTGGCGGTGACTCGGCCAAGGTTCGCGAGCTTGACCGCCGCGTCACCCAGCTCGCCGGTTTCCCGCGCTCCATTGGCGTCTCGGGCCAGACCTACACCCGCAAGCTCGACTTTATGGTCCTCTCGCGCCTCTCAGCCATTGCCCAGTCGGCCCACAAGATGGCTGTCGACATCCGCCTTCTCTCCAACCTCAAGGAGATGGAGGAGCCGTGGGGCAAGAAGCAGGTCGGCTCGTCGGCCATGCCGTACAAGCAGAACCCGATGCGCTCCGAGCGCATCTGCTCGCTCGCCCGCCACGTCATGGTCAACATCGACAACACTGCCCATACCGCCGCCAACCAGTGGCTCGAGCGCACGCTCGACGACTCGGCGAACCGCCGCCTCGTCCTCCCCGAGGCCTTCCTCGCCGTCGACGTTATCCTCTCCGTCTCGCGCAACGTCATGGACGGCATCCAGGTCCACCCCAAGGTCATCGAGAAGCGCATCGCCGCCGAGCTGCCATTTATGGCCTCGGAGAACATTCTCATGGCCGGCGTCAAGGCCGGCGGCTCACGCCAGGAGCTCCACGAGGTCATCCGCGAGCTTGCCCTCGAGGCCGCCGAGCAGGTCAAGGTCCACGGCAAGGACAACGATCTCATGGACCGCATTGCCGCTCACCCGGCCTTCTCCGCCCTCTCCGGCGAGCAGCTCGATGCCGTCCTCGACCCGGCCCAGTACGTCGGCCGCGCCCCAAACCAGGTCGCCGAGTACATTGCCGAGGAGGTCGATCCGCTCCTCGAGTCGCAGTCGCACGTGCTTGAGAAGCTCTCCACTGACCGCGGCATGGGCGTGTAGGAGTAAATTTACTACCACAGTCCAAACCAGCCCGTCTTTTTGGGCGCTTCCTCGGCCTGCCCACCCGAGGAGCTCGCTGCAGCCGCCGCTGGCGCAGACGTCGCCGCCGTACTCTGACCGGTCTTGGACGACAAGTCCGGGAACGAGAGGTACGTTGACGCGAGGTCAAAGAAGAGCGGCTGGCATGGGATGGGGGTAAACGCCGGCGGGAACTCGGCAACCACTGCCTCACTCACCGTCTGCGGGAAGATCTTGGGCGTCTCGAGGATCCCACGCCCGGCTGCGGCCTCCTCCGCCGCCGGCTCCTCCTCTGCCAGCGCCGCGCACGCCACCATGTACGCCCGCATCGACCGGATCCGCTGCATCAGCTCCTCCGCCGCAGTCACCACTCCGGCGTCAAGCTCGGGCGCCTGCGTCGTGGCTGCCACCGCAGCCTCCTGCTTGCCTGCCGCGGCCTCGAGCACCACGCTGGCCTTGCCAAACTCCTTGGCCTCCACCAGCGCCCGCCCGGCCCAGTACGCGCGGTACGCCTCGTACACCGCCTCGCGCGCCGCGAGCTCGTTAACAATCGAGCCTGCCGTGGCGGCGTCGAACCACCGCGTCGGCACCCCGCGCAGCGACTCGACAGAGTTACCCAGGTTCTGGTACATCCGCCCCAGCCGCACAGGGCTCTCCAGCTTGGTCGCCTCACGCTCAGTCACCGCCACGTTCTCCGGCAGACGCGACTCCATTTCGCTCACAATGTACTCGTTGCGCTTGATGGCAAGCGAGCCAAGCTCAAACTGAAGGTACGCCTCCAGGAACTGTGCGTCGTCGAGATGCTGCTGGGTCTTCTGCGACGCCTCACGCCCCGAGAGCTGTCGTCACACACACATCAATCGTGCCACAACATGGTGAGTCGTTGCCCATTCCGAGTCTCCTCACGCAGCCACCAGCAAGATGGGTGGCGGCGTAAACCTCATATAATACAACGCGAGTCAACACAAGACGCCTGCAACTGAACGCTTTTGCGTATTGCAGGCTTCTGATAGAGCTAATAGTTCTAATCATCGGAATCCGCTAGGGTGCGGATGTGCCGGCCACTCTCTCTCCTCCTCACTCTCTCCTCTCGCTCACATACCTTAGTCACGACGTCCTGCGTCGCCTGCACCGCCGCGTTGTACTGGACCAGCATGCCATGGAACGCCTCCATGACTGCCTCGTGCTTGTGAGTGCCTGTCACATCATTGAGCGACCAGGTCTGCGCCACCGCGAGCTGCTGCTCCGCCTGCCGAACCGCTGCAAGCGCCACACGCACGCCGTCGTCGCGGATCGGCACACGTTTGCCGCGCCAGCCAACCTCGCTCAGCGACTCGGCCTGCTCGCGGCGAGTCTCCTCCAGCAAATCCTGTCCATCGCAAAGAGAGTGGTGAGTTGGGAAGAAAAGGGGGAGGGGGAAGGGGGAAGGGAGGGGCAGGCGCAAGGTGGGGCGCCAACGAGAGACGAGGTCGAGGTCAGACAGGGTTACACATTAGATATCAGTCAGGAAAAGTACTCAGACCGCCCGTAACTACATATCATCATTCCGAGCCTCGTCTCTGCGCTAGCGCGCGCCACACAGCCCTTGGAGCTGGAGCGGCAGTTGTCACGTACGTTCAGTTTCGAGTTGAGAAGACTGTTGGGCTTGGCGTGAAGTTCCATGAGTTCCTCGACCGTGGCCGATGAGCCACCGGACGCGCGACGGATCTGGTACTCGCAGTACTCCGAGTTGGTGTTGATGTCCTCAACCACCCGGGCGCACTGCTCCATCTGCAGCGACGAGCCAGCCAGGCCCGAAAAGATGGTGCGAGCGTGGACGTAGGCGGCGAGCGCATCCTCCCAGTTCTCGCGGAGAAACTGGTGCGAGCCCTTGATCCACGACGCATACGCGTCGGCCTCGAGCTGCAGACGCGTGTCGCCCACGGCAGCGGCCAGGGCAAAAAAGTCCTGGGCGAGCCGGTCAGCCTTGGCCATCCGCCGGAGCATGTGCAGGCGCAGACGCGAGTTGTCGACAAACGTCTCCATGTCGTACTTGAGCTGCATGCCGTACGCCCACGCACGCTCGGTCTCAAACAGAGCAATGAGCACGTAGCGAGCATCACCGGCACGCTTGTCACCCGAGCGGGTGAAGAGCGTGACCGACGGCGTCATACGCCGGTACTGCTTGCCAATTCGCTTCGAGACAAGGCCCAGCTTGGACCTCATCCGCCGGATCTTCCGGGTGCAAAACTGGCGGTACCGCTGGTAGTTGTTGTGCTTGAGCCCATTGGCAGCCTGCGCCTCCTTGATCGTCGACAACACTGTTGTTCTCAGATAAAGGACCACACCATCCACATACGTACAAAAACAATTGTTGGAAATAATTGTGAGTCTTTCCCCGCCCCTCTGCTGGCAAACAGACAGCCATCCCTACGAAACAAGGTCGTAGGAGCTCTGACGCGCTCACCAACCACCCGGACTAGTGGTATCCCCCGCCCGAGTTTGCTACCACATGCCGCGCGTGTAAACCTTTTCCACATGCCAGTGGTATGCCCATGCATGGATGGTGGAAAGGGGACAGGGTGGGCAGAGCTGGTGGGCGGTGGTGGGCGGTGGCGAAAGACAAAGATTTTCACTCGCGTCATGACGCGACGACCGCGGACGGGGGTGGGCAAGGCGTGCGGGGGAGGGAGAGAAAGTCGAACAAACGTACCGTCGAGCGAGAGGGGGGCAATGGCCTCGGCCTCGGCCTTAGCTGCGGCGTCTGGAGCCGCAGCAGCGTCGTCGCCGGGTGCCTGGGAGGGCGGCGTCTGCTCCTCCGGCTGGCTCATTTGTGTTGAGTGTTGGGAACAATGGACGAGAATTGTGAAGAGGCGGGGGCTTGCGGCTCGTTCCGACTCAGCCAGGTTGACGGCGGCGCCGAGACACGCCGGACCGATGGTCACCGTTCGCAGCTCAAGGGAAAGTAACGATGTTTAATACAGCAGATGGCGGAGAAGTGCTTTCCTGCCGGGCTCGCTCACCACAACATGAGTTGCTTACAGGTCGCTACTACGGCGGCGACATGGCAAAGAGAGTCGGTGAGCGCGGCGAGGAGCCGGCAGAAGCGTCGATGGGCTGGAGGGTGGACCGGCGCGAGAGCGGGATGGCGCGCGAGGCCTCACCCGAATCGGTCGACGCAGTGGTGTCGGCGGTGCCGCCCGCGAGCGAGCCGTGGTGGCGGTAGGAGAGCGGGCGCTCGCGCTGGTAGGCCGGAATGTCCGACGCAGCCTCGGGCACGGCTGGAACGAGGCCGAGCGCCGAGGCTGTCGACGGCGAGGTGTACGAGAATGCCGGAAAGACAGCGACGGCCGAGGCCGGAACAGAGGCTGCCGGCGATGAGGCTATGGGCCGGGCGGCGCGGGCGAGCGAGGGCGAGGCGGCCATGCGCGAGATGGGTGAGTTGTCGGTGAGCGACGAGGGGAAGCACTCGATGAACTCGTCCTCGTCGTCCGAGTACTCGATGTACGGCTCCCACGGCGGCTCGAGCTCTAGGTCGACGACAGCATCCCAGTCGAGGCCGGCAAAGAACGGATGAGCCATGACGCCTGGGCCGTCGAGGCGGGCGTGCGGGTTGCGGTCGAGGAGGCAGACCAGCAAGTCCTTGGCCTCGTCGGAGAGCGCCGGAAAGTCGGGAAAGACGAGGTCCGACGAGGTGATGGCGGCAAGGCGGGCCGAGGCCAGAGCATCCTCGTCAGTGCCGTCGATGGCCGGCGAGCCAAGGCCGAACGGCTTGCCGCCGGTCAGCATCTCAAAGAGGACGACGCCAAACGACCACCAGTCGGCGGCAAAGCCGTGGCCGCCGGCGTCCTGGGCCAGGATTTCGGGCGCCATGTATGCGCCAGTCCCGCAGTACGTGTGAGCAGCACTTGCCTCGGGCGCCAGGCGCTTGGCAAAGCCAAAGTCTGTGAGGCAGACGTGGCCCTCGATGTCGAGCAGGATGTTGCCGCACTTGAGGTCGCGGTGGACAATCGACTGCGAGTGGAGGAAGACGAGGGCGGTGGCGATTTCGGCGGCGTAGAAGCGGACCTCGTCCTCGCGGAGCATGACTCGCCTGCGAAGGAGGAACGCCATGTCACCGCCATGCATAAACTCCATGATGAGAACAAGCGACTCGGGAGTCTGGAAGGAGAACACGAGGCGGACGACAAACGGGTGCGAGACCGAGCGAAGGATGTGGCACTCGGACTGGGCGTGGGCATACATGTTGGTCTCGAGGACAAAGGCCTTGGGAATGACCTTCATGGCGTATGTCGTGTTGAGCCCTACGTGCCTCACAAGGTAGACCTGGCCCACAAGCCCCGTCCCGATCTTGTACAGGACCTCAAAGTCGTCGAGCGACGGCGTGCTGGTCCCGCCCTGCCCACTTCCGCTCCTTCCGCCGCCACCGTCCGCCGCTCCCTCTGCCAACAGCGACTGCGTCAGTGCAGACTTGCTCATGGTGCTTCTCCTCCCACAGTCGCTGACGCGAGTACTCGTTGCCTCCCCGTGCGGGCCGGCGTCGAGTAGGCCGCCTGCACCCGCCTTCTGCCAAGCACGCCACCGGCCACCGCCACCCGCCGTCCCTTCCCAGCCGGAGTTTGGAGAACACGGCTCTTTCACGCCGTTTCCGCGAGTCTGACCACAGCAACGTAGTGACGGCCAACGACCAACAACCCACGGCCCCAAGAGCCGCTGCTGATAGCCTACACATCACGATATGTCGTGATGGCCCCCCATCATGCCCAAGTCTGTGGGCGATCTTGGTGTGCCTTCCCACTTTTGCAACGCTGCTCGGGTCTACTGTACTGTTCTGTAGGCTGCATGCCGGCTAGATGTGGGTGTAGAGAGCATGAACTCGAGCCTTGGCCTCCATGAGCATGTCGAGCCATGCCTGCTGGAATCGCGGTGTTCCGTCAATGGTCCGCACCAACTCGCTCTGGGTCTCGAGCGTGTAGGAGGCGTGCGGAACGATGGCGGGGGAGCCGACGTCCCGAGGCCTGGTCGCCGCACGGAGCGTTCTGGGTTGTGGAGGACAAAGTGGACCGAGACGGCGGCGAGCGGGACCGGGCGCTGCGGAGTTGGCTTGGAGAACATGGCGGTGACGTAGAGCGCCGGTGAGCTGGGATGCGAGGCCGAGGCGCGGGCGACTTCGGCGACTCGCTCCGGGCTCTGCATCACCGCCACCGAGTACGCCGGTGCCCAGTCAGCAATAGCGGCACGGACCCACCTGATGGCTTCGTCCTGCGTAAAGACAGCCATGGCAAGCCGCGAGCCGCGCGGAGTCCGGGCGAGCGCGTCGAGATCGACATGCTCGACCGCGCCGAGCGCCGGGCGCGACGCGGTCGCCGACTCGCTTCGCGGCAAGCCAGGCGAGCTTGGCGGGCGAGGAGGGAGCGAGGCCGGCGACGCTGTCGGCGACGCCGACTGCGCCACTTGCTGCCCGCGAAAGGTGAGGACAAAGAGCGAGTGCCCACGCTGTGTCGCGACGTCGACGGCGGTCTCGCCCGACGAGTTCATACGGCCGAGGTCGGCGCCGGCGTCGAGGAGCATCTGCGCCATTTCGACGTCGCCGACGGCAGCGGCGGCGTGGAGAGGAGTGAACAGTGCGCGGGTCTGCTCAGAGGTGCGAGCGCCAGCTTCGACAAGGATGTGGGCGGTCTCGAGTGCGCCGTGTAGTGCGGCAAGGTGCAGCGGCGAGTTGTGGTCAGTGTCGAGCGCGTTGACGTTGGCGCCGGCGTCGATGAGGACGCGCGCCACCGAGAACCAGTTGTGCTTGGCCGCGAGGTGAAGGGCGGTGAGGCCGGTGACCGACGACGCGTTGGGGTCAGCGCCGACGGTGAGAAGATGGATGGTGACTTCAAGGAAGCCCTTGCGGACGGCGGCAAAGAGAACGCTCTCGCGGCTCTTGGTTGCGCGGACGTCGACGTCGACGCCGGCCTCGGTAAGCAGCTCCACAGCCGAGATGGCCGCCATCTCCTCCAGCTCCAGCGCGGCCCACAGCGGGCTGCGCCCGTCGGCGTCCAGCTGCTCGTGCAGGTCGGGCGCGTCGGCGTTGGTGAGCGCGGAGAGGATGTACTTGACTCCTGTGCGCGCTGCTGCCGCGAGGACTGGCTCGCCCCATGGCGCCTTGAGCGCTGGCGAAGCGGCGTTGTCGAGCAAGAATCGGACTGCGCTCGTCTGCGCACACGCCACCGCCGCATACAACGGCGGGAGCGGCACGCTCGTCGGCTCGTACGACGCCGGCGCGCCGGACAAGCTTGTGTCCGTTGGAAGGAAGACAGGATGGTTAAAGTCGAGTGCGAGCGCAGCGCCTAGGCCGGCTTCAGCCTGCGCGCCGGAGCTTTGCCGTGCGAGGCCGCTGCTGCCGCCAGAGCTCGATGAAGAGCTTGACAAGCTGCTGGCGGACAAACTGGCCGATGAGCTGGCTGAAGAGCTGGCTGACACGCGCTGCGCAACCCCTAGTGTGGCCTCGAGAGACTCGATGAACTTGTTGTACGCCGCCACAAGCTCGCGGAAGGCCGGCAGCGCAAGCTGGCCGACGCACAGGGCGGCGAGGCCAGTCGCGACGGCGGCGCGCTCGCTCACAATCTTGGCTGCATGGTCGGCTCGGAGCAACTTCTTGACCAGCTTGGTCTTGGCAACTGTGGCCGGTGTAAGACCTTTGGCGTTGGGCGTGGTGTGGTGCGCGCCAATGGAGAGCAGGTAGGCTGCGGCCGACGCGGCGCCGTGTGCGGTTGCCATCAGCAACGGTGAGTTCTGCTCTTGAGGCGAGGCCAGCGCTTCGACGTCTGCGCCGTGCTGGACCAAGAGCTTGGCGACTATAAAGGCGTCGGCCATGGCGGCCAGATGCAGCGGAGTGAGGCCGGCCGGGTCGGCCGACGTCGCCTTGGCACCTGCGTCGAGCAGGGCTTGGGCGGCCTCGGGAAGGTCGAGATGCGCGGCATAGTGTAGCGGCGTCCACCCACGGGCATCAGGAACGTCGAACATTGCACCGTCCGCCTCGACCAACGAGTGGATGAGGAGGGTGTGCCCACGGAGTACGGCCTCGTGCATGGGCGTGAGGCCTGTGTCGACGACGGAAGCGCCAAAGCGCATACGCAGGAACGACGCAGCTGCCCGTTCACCCTCTGTAAGCGCCACCTTGTCTGCTGCCGCTTTGATAGCCCGAAGCACAACCGTGAGCGTTGCCAGCGAGCCAGCCGCCGCCGCCACATGCAGTAGAGTTGTTCCGCTCGCCGTCGCCGCCGTCACCAACGCCTTCCCGCCGTCACCCCCCAGCGCTGCGTTCACATCGCGAGTCTTCCCGCCTGCCGCCGCCTGCAGCACCTCTTCCAGTCGGCTGGCCATCTCTCGCCCTCTGCTCGTGGCAAAGGCGGTCGACGCGAGTGCAGTGGCAAGAAGCAAAGTGGTAGAGTCGGTACAGAGCGTGAGCTCGGGGACGGCAGAGTTGCCCAACGCGTGCGGTTGCATCCCTCAAAGCCAACGGTCAAAGCCTTGTCCAATAATCGTAGCCCGACCAAAGACCATCATTGTTCATCCTCGATTGTTAGCGAGGTTGAAAAAGTGCGGCATTCGTTGGTCGAATGGGTGTGTGGCGTGGTCCGAGTGAAACCAGCTCGCGCTGTTTTTCACTCGGTGGGCAACAAAGGCAAGCAAGTCACTCTCCTCTCACAATCTCACAATGTCGAAGCGTGGACGTGGTGGCACCTCGGGCAACAAGTTCCGCATCTCCCTCGGTCTCCCGGTGGGCGCTGTCCTCAACTGCGCCGACAACACGGGTGCCAAGAACCTGTACATCATTGCCGTCAAGGTACGCTCAATGCCCTGCCCCTCTATGCCCTCTCCCTGGTCCCCCTCCCCGTCGTCGTACTCGCCATCGCTCGTCGGCTGGCGGCGAGTGCTTGATTTTGCCGCATCCCGCGGGCCCCGGCCACCACGCCCCCCGACCACGCCCATACCCACGCTCTGCCCACACGCTCCTGCACTACATACCGGGTATGCCCCACCTATAGGGCCTGGTATCTCCGCTGGAGGTACCTCTGGTGGGCAGTGGCGCAAGGCGGGAGCACGGTGGGCGGCCTTTTTCAGACTTTTTGTTTGATCGACGTCCAGCTGCCGGTGCCGACCTCGCAGACACTGGCGATGCAGGAGAACGCAGTGGGCGGAGAGCAGACCGTGTGCGTGGTTCGCGAGGACTCACTGGTTGCTTCTGAATGTTTGTGTGTGACTCTGGACATGCTCGGGAGTGTAGGGCATCCGTGGCCGCCTCAACCGGCTCCCGGCTGCTGGCCTCGGCGACATGATCATGGCCACCGTGAAGAAGGGCAAGCCGCAGCTCCGTAAGAAGGTGTGGACTGCTGTTGTTGTGCGCCAGCGCAAGTCGTGGCGTCGCAAGGACGGCGTCTACCTCTACTTTGAGGACAACGCTGGCGTCATCGTCAACCCCAAGGGTGAGATGAAGGGTACGTATCCATCCATTACTGCTCCCCCTCCTTCCTCCCCACACACACCCTACCTCCCAACTCCTCCTGCGCTTTTCCCCTCTGCATGGTTGCGCCGATGACGATCAACCCTAGACCAGACGATGCTGCGCCCCACGGGGTAACGCTCGTTTCCATGGTGGATCTATTACTGATTTATCTGAGGCTTGGTCCCGCTTCCCCCCCCCCCCTCCCCCTTTCTCCTCTCTCCTCCCCCCTCTCTCACTCACCTCCCCTCCTCTTCTCGTCTTCTTTCTCATAGGTTCGGCTGTCACTGGCCCGATCGGCAAGGAGTGCGCCGACCTCTGGCCCAAGATTGCCGGTGCCTCGTCCACCATCATCTGATCGATGGCATAAAGACAAGCAACAACAACATGTTATGTGGGGAGCGAGAGTGTGCACTCATTGTGTTGTGTCTTTGCCCGCACTGCAGCCTAACCAGCCAACCTTGATCCCTAGCACCCGACTCAACCCCCTCCCCCCTGCGTTGCACCCAATCCATCCTGCGACCCATCCTTGCCCTCCATCGCCGCCCCACCGCCGCACCCCTAGGTATCCCCACCAGCACCACCACTCTACCCAGACCAACCCCAACCCCTAACCCCAACCCGCACCCAACCCCTCTCACCCACACACTCATACACTCGTCGCCAGTCCATTGTCAACGTACAATATGGCAGGCACAAGCAAGAGAAAGCGCTCCTCTGGCGACGACGGCAAGGTTGACAAGCGGGCCAAGGATCTCTCCGGCAAGGCCAAGTCCAAGTCCAAGTCCAAGGACAAGTCCAAGTCCAAATCCAAGTCCAAGTCCAAGTCGAAGGACAAGTCCAAGGCCAAGGACAAGTCCAAGGCCAAGCCGCCGGCATCAACAATGGCCAGCACGGCGCCGAAAGGCGATGGCTTGCTCTTCCCGGCGCTGGCCAAACCTCTGTCTGCGGTGGCCGAGACGATCAAGAATGCTGCTAATGCCAAGACGAGCAAGAATGCCGTAGATGCGCCGGTGGAGAAGCTGACCAAGTTGCAGCGCGGTCTGGTGTCCAAGATTGTGGAGCGCAAGAAGGCGGTCAAGGGCGGCAAGGGTGGAAAGGGCGGCAAGAACACATACACCAAGACGCCCGAGCAAAAGGCCGAGGCCGAACGGAAGAACCGGTGCACGGTACTGATCAAGGGTTTGCCCGGTGGCGTCACCGACCGCGGCATCAAGAAGCTGTGCCAGTCGATCGGCCCGATTGCGTCAATCAAGACGGCCCGCGACAAGGAGACCGGCAAGTGCCTCGGCTTTTCCTGGATCGAGTTCAAGTACGACGACCTGCCTGCACGCGCTGCGCAGAGGTTGCACAACTCGTACTATTTGGGCGTTCAGATCTCGGTTGTCCCGCGCAACTCCAAGGTCAAGACCTCTCAGCGCAAGATCGAGGCCGAGCAGCGCCGCCGCGAGGCCAAACTGGCGCTCAACGCTGAGCTGGGCATCACCGAGAAGCAAGGCGACGACGAGGCTTCTGCTGCTGCCGCAGACATTGATCCCGACCTCGAAATTCTCCGTGGCGCCGACGAAGATATTGCGCCTGGCAACGTCGACCAAGACTTGCTCGCCAAGCTCGTCGGCCGCATCCAGACCGCTCGCAAGACCGGCTTCATTCCCAAGCCTATCACTGACCTCGATGCTGTCGATGACGACGACGACGATGACGCTGCTGCCGCGGGTGGCGAAGCGCCTGCAACCCGCAAGCGGACTGTCGAAGACTATGCCGAGCTCTCCAAGTCGCTTGCTGGCAAGACGCCGACCGTCTTTGTCGGCAACATGCCGTTCACGATGGATGAGCCCTCACTTCGGTCCTTTATCACCGGCCTCGGCTTTGGCGACATTGCCGACATCCGCCTCATCTTCGACAACACCAAGCGCCGTCCGGTCTTCAAGGGCGCCGCCACCGTCGAGTTTAACTCGCCTGAGGTCGCTGCCAACTTTGTCAAGCTCCCACGTCACCACCTCAAGACCGGCGGCCGCAAGCTGCGTCTTCTCCTTGCCCGCGAGCACCGCCTCGCCCAGGATCAGGTCCAGATGCATGCCCAGGCCCAGGCCGATGCCGAGGCCGTGGCTGAGGTCCGGAACCGTGCCATGACCATTGAACACTAGCCGCCGCCCCCCCCACCGCCCCCGCGCCATGTGATCGGAAAGCTGGACATTTATGGGCACGTACAGCTCGAGATGTGTGGCTGTGTTGCTGACCCATAGCTACAAATATTTTCAGCCTATCCACCCCCCACCCCCCACCCCCAACCAACCCCAAGTCAGACCACGTGATGCACCGCAGCAATTCCCCGTCCCCCGCCCTCGCCACGACACACACCCCACCCCCTCCCACGCCGGCCTGTTTTCAAAATGCAGATGTGGTTCACTCTGGAGACCAGCGACCTGGGCCACTTGCTGTTCCACGGGTGGAAGGTGGAGAGCACCGGTGCGCTGGTCTTTGCTGCTGCCGTCTCGGCTGTCATGGCCGCTGTCTTCACCTTTGTCAAGTCGTGGCTCGTCCCCCGCGTCGACGCTGCTGCCCGCATCGCCGCTATTGAGGCCTCTTCCTCGCGCCACACTCGCCTCCCGCCGCTAGCTGGTGCCTGGGCGCACGAGTCGGTCGCCCTCAATCGCTCAGCCGCTGCCGTGTACTCGGGCGCAGACTCGGGCCGTAGACCCCTCATCGCCGGTATGCCGGGCGCTATGGTGCCGGGCATGCACGAGCCGGCTCGCCCATTTGCTCCCTGGCTGTGGCAGCTTGTCCGCGCTGGGACCCACGTCCTCCACATCACCATCGGCTATGCTGTCATGCTCATCGCCATGTCGTACTCGGCCTGGCTCTTCTTTGCCATCCTTGCCGGCGTCTTTGTGGGCTACCTCGTCGCCAACCTCGCCCGCTGATCCGGCATGGTCTCCACGCTCAGGCCTTGGGCCCAGATCCGGTCCTGGCCGTGACCCCGCCCACCACTGGATGCGTGAGCAATACCTGCAGGACATCGCCAAGCATGTCACCGTAGTCGTTGCATAGCGAGTACTGCGAGGCCGGCACGCCCACGCCCAGCACATAACCGAGTGCATGGCCGCGGCTTCCCCGACCGCCCGCCGAGCCGGTCAGCCAGAACCAATAGTGATCGCGGAGGACAGATCCGACCCGCCAGTGTGCCGCAAGGCACAGGGTCTTGAACACGTCCTCAGTGGCGTCGTCCAGAACCCGCGCAGCGTCTACCAGCGCTCGGCCGCCCGGCGCAAGCTGTGCATAAACCGCATCCTCCACAAGCGGCGCGTCGCGGACCGTTCCGGTCACCTTGAACGGCAGCTGGAGCCAAGTCACCGCTGCGTTGCGCCACCGCTCTACTGCATCACCAGCAGCATCCGCGACATCGTTGACGGCCGGATACGCCGCCAGCGCCAGCGCCACGCCGACCACTCGCACGTCGGCCGGCGTCAGCACGCCAGCAGCGGCTCTGGACGCCACACGCGTCCCCATCCAAACACCGACCGCCGCCACAGCCTTGACCGCGTCCTCGGCCGCATCGTCTGCGCCGTCAACCGCAAAGCCAAATAGGCCCGCTAGCTCGGCCACCAGCGGCAGCGGCGGCGTCAGCGCCGTCCCGCCCACCGCGTCCGCCAGCCGCCCCGCCAGCGCCCCCGGCATGCCCGCCAGGACACCAAGCGGGAGAAGCGCCGCCACAAAAACCACAGCCGCCACAGCCACATCCCTCCGCCCGAGCCAGCTTCCTACTTCTCGCTTCCTTCCGCTCATCTCACTTCTGCCTGCGAGCCCACAACCAGAGCCGATTGAGTCGATGAGCCGAGTGGTGGCTGGAGTTGGGCGAGTGTCAGAAGTCAAGACTCACGGGCAAATGCCAGCCTTTTTTTCTGTGCGGGTGCGGAGAAAGTCACTCCGCAACACACCGTGTCGGTGGGACGACTCCACGTGCGACAAATGTAACACGGCGTACCCATCCCCGCAACAGCACACGCTCTCAGCCTCTCACTCGCCCTCCCTGTGCGTTTTACAAGCTAAAAGAGCCGCACAGAGGGCCTTGCTCTTGATGCTCAAACATAAAACTCTAGTCTCGGACCTTCTCGACCCTAACTGTCCCTTATCCGGCACCCGCTCTCTGCAATTTAGATGTTGACGAGTCTTCGGGAAGCCTACAGGAAACCAGAATAGACCACCCGTATCCGGCTCACTGGTCATCACCAGCACAGAGTCAAACATCCCTTTTTTCGGAGCACATCCGCAGTTGCAGCAGAGCAAGGTGATCTCCTGGCGATTGCAGAGAACTCAAAGGTCACATCACGCATGAACGCCAAGCAAAGGCGTCACTGCGTCTATAAGCATCGACAGGCAGAATGTGGCAACATGGCAGCCTCGATGACGTGCCAACTTGCTGTTAATTGGCACACACGCGCATCGAGCCAATTTATGATACCCAGATCGCCCGCACACATCCTTGCCTTCTATGTGCGCTACCTGTACGCTACGGTGCATCTACTCCCATTGGTGCATGCAACATGTGACAGCAACATGTCAATACCACTGGTGTGTTGCTGTGTACGTGTAGTCTTACGCACGGGCACATTGCGGCTCAGCGGTGGATCGGGAGCTAATCACCATCAACTGGGTGAAATATTACTGGTCGGTCGGGAAGCCGGACGTTGCGGGAGTGGCAACCACCCCCCTCCTACGAGGAAGACCCACCCTTCCTCCCATGCCCGTACGTGCATCATGCGAGTGCACGGCGTGTGGCAAGACGTTCTCGCGACGGAGCAACCTTTTCCGCCACGTGCGCACCGTACACGGCACCGCCGCCGGCCTCAAAACCTCGGAACCGCCGACGTTCGCTTGCGATGACTGTGGCCAATTGTTTACTCGACGGGACACACTTCGGCGGCACTACACAGCCGCCCATGCCGACGTCACCTACCCCTGTCCGCTCTGTGATAGAGAGTTCGGCCGCCGGTCCTCCCTGCACCGCCACGTCCGCCTCGTTCATCCCGAAGCTCAGTTGTCAACCACATTACAGCAGCATGACTTGCTGTTGCCGTCGGCCCCGCTGTCAACTTCCATACCGAGCGCGTCACCATCGGCCACGACAACTTCGGCGGCCTCGTCGCTCGCGGCCACAAACACGGCATCATCATCGACCAGCGAGTCATCCATCGCCAGCCGATCATCCGCCTCTCTCATCTCGAGCTCAAGCTCGGTCGCCGTGGCTGCTCCGCAGCTCGCTTTTCTCCCTGCAACTGCCACTTATGTCTCCAAATCCAAGCTCACCGCGAGCAAGCTCGCCATCGCTTTTGCTGCATCTCACCCGGACGCCATCGCCATCCATCACGACCACCACATCGACGCCCTCTATGAAGGCCGATTGCTTTTCTTCTGTACCATGCCCCATGGCGAGTCTGGCAGCGAGTCCAGCACGACCGCCGGCCCGGGCACCCAAGACGACACCCAAGACGACATCCGCGTCCGCACTGCTGCCAGCTCGGATACGTTCCCACTCGATCCAGCGACTACGACTCGCGTTGCTGCTCAGTTTCCGTCGCTCCACCCGGATGCCATCCATGCCCACATACATCGCCTCGACAAGCTCGAGATCGCCCCGGCTCCGCTGGTTCCCATAACCAACCCACCACCCGACCTCGTCGCTCTCGGCGATCACATACACAACGACGGCTGCACACATCCACCCGTTGTCCATGACGACCACGTTGACTACCTGGTGGAAAACTGGCTCCATCATCCTGCCGCAGCTACGACGGCAGCCGCCATCCACGGCTACCTTGCTTCCGTACCACATGAATGAACAGTCTATGAAGTCGGCTTCATTAGACCTACGCCGTCACATCCCACACGCAGATGTCGCCGCATGAGCTGCCAGACACGAGCGCAGAGCCCGAGTCGGTGACCGCCACCGCGCCCACCGCGCCCGAGTGGCCAACAAAGTCCTGGAACGTTCCCTCCCAGTAGTCGACAAGCTTGAGAACCCGCTCAGCGAGACCGATCGCAACCATTGGCGTTCGCCCCGTCGCCACCACGCTCAGCGTCAGCGGCCACTGATCGCGCCCGAGCGGGAGCGACCGCAACACTTCCTCGTGAACCAGCGAGTAGAGAAGGATTGCCGGCGCGTCCCCGTAGCCCGAGTACACAATCATGTCCGGCTCCACCGGCGAAAACACCGCAAGCGTCGGCGCTCCGGCCCGACCGGCCGCGTTGCCTTCAGCCGCGCCGGTCGCGCCTTGCTCCGGAATCGGCGGTGCCGCAAACGTGAGCCAGTCGACGAGTGCATACTTGTCACTCCGCCACCGCGTCCGCCACACAGAGACCCGTCGGTCAGCAGAACCGACAAGCCACAGCTGCGGATCGAGGCTCGACACGTCGATGCAATCGATCCGCGCCCCGGCATGCTCGCCGATCCGCTTCAGCACCGCCCCGTTGCCGGTGTCCAGCACCACCACGTCACCGTTGCCCGAGCCCGCGAGAATCGCAGAGTCGCGGATGCCGCCCACGGCCACAGCCGTCACAGGCGCGTCCGAGAACGCCTTGTGTAGGCCCACCAGCGAGAGCGTCCGCAGATCAAACACCCGCACACACCCGTCCGAGTAGCCCGCCACCACCGCGCTCCGCACCTTGGACGCCACGAGACATGTCACGCCTGTAAACGGCGAAGCCACTTGGAACTGCACCACACCTTCCCACGGTCCCGCCCCGCGCCCGTGTGACCAGAGCCGGACAGACCCGTCGCGCGAGCCAGAGACAAGTAGCGCATCGTCTTCGGCAAAGCTCACCGCAGTCACAGAGTCTGAATGTGCTGAGAGGAGCCGGACAGCCGTGAGCTCGGGCCAGTTGACAAACCACAGGTTGCCGTCGCCGGACCCCACAAGCGCATCGTCACCGAGCGCAGATGCAGACAGCGCCACAAGCGGCGCGTCGCCAACCGTCAGCTCCTCGATCCGCGACCCACCCACAGAAGCCGCCATCGGATCCTCCGGAAGAGCCCATGCCGCGAGCTTGCCGTGCATGTCGCCAGTGAAGAGAACGTCTGCACGCCACCCTAGCACCGTCACCTGCCGCGCCGCGAGTGGGTGCTCGCTTGACACCACTCGCCACGAACCGAGGAACGACGGTCCGCCCTCGCTGCATGTGTTGAACACCGCTACCTCGCCAGAGTACGTCCCCACGTAAATCCGCCGTGCCATGCGCGACACACGCCGCGGCGACGAATCAAACACACCCGCTGTGAAGATCGAAGTCCCAAGCGACGCCGGCAGTGCCACAGCACGCGGCTCGGCCAGTCGTGCCCCGCCCTCGATCGTAAAGCTCGTCAGCGAGTACACCCCACCCGTCACAAACGCCGGTGGGTTCGCCGTCGGCGACCATGCCGCCCACAGCTGCGGCTGCTCGAGCACCACAGACCCGATCATGGCACACGACCGCAAATCCCACACCGCCACAGACCGCTCGCCTGGTGACCCAACAGAGACAAGGTACTCGCCTGACGGAGAAAAGGCAAGCGCAACGACTCCGGCTTCGTGGAAAGCAAGCGACATCTGGCACACTGCGTCCACCGCAGACCAAACCAGGATCCGCGCAGCGCCATCGACATCGCTTGTTCCCGGTGCAGACGCCACCAGCGACCCGTCCGGCGAGACCGCCACCACAGAGACCGCCGCTGTGTGGCCCCACAGGTGCGTCTGTGCCTTGGACGCCAGATCCTCCAGCACCACCGCTGCTCCTGATGCATACGCCACGTACCCGCCGGCCTCGCACCAGACCACGTTGTGCCCACCAGTCCCGCTTATCGAGCCCGAGTACCCAAGAAGCAGTCGCGGCGAGAGTGCCGCCTCGTTGGCATCCGGCGGCGTGTACCGCTCCTCGGCAAGTCGTGTCGGCAGCGTGTGCTCCCGCCGCGGATCGACTGAAAACGCACTCGCCACCTTGATGGCCACATCACCAAACGTCGGATCATCGTCTTCCACCACGCCTGCTGCTTCCGCTCCGTGTTCGCGGCCAGGCGTCGGTGAGCCGCTCGCCGAGCGCGCCGGGGAGCCGGCTAGCGAGCCACTCGCCGAGCTCGAGAGTGCATGCGGCGACGCGGATCGCTCCGTCGCCAGAGCCTCGAGCTGGGCTTCGGACCGCGCCCGAAACTCGGACGTCGTGTCACCGTGGAACCGCCACACAAAGACAGCTCCACCGGCGCCGGCGCTCACCACCAGCGAGTCGCCACAGGCAAACGCCACTCCTGAGAGATAACCCGGGGCGTTGACAAACGACTGTGCGCCAGGCGCTGCCCGCTGGTAGTAGTCCCAAACCTTGAGCACCCCGTCGTGCCCGCCAGACGCAATGTACTGTCCGTTCGCTGTCACGTCAAGTGCAGAGAACAGTCCAGAGTGGGCCATCGGCGTGCCGGCCACCAGCTCGCCGCGCGATGCGTCGGCTCGGAACAGGTAAGAGTCAACAGTCGAGATGAGGAGCTCGTGCGAAAGCGCCCGCGGAAAATGCAGCGCCTGGGCCTGTGTGTGCAGCGTGATGACATGGATGGCTTGCAGTGACTCGGTCTCTGCCAGCGTCACCATGTCGTGGCTCGGCCCTGCGTACGCGAGCCAGCCGCCATCAGCTGAGACTGCCATCGGCAGCTCGCCCGACGGCGAGACCACGCCGTGCGCGATAAACTGCGTTGGCTGGTACAGCGAGTCGACCGCGTACTTGACAATAGTGCCGTCCGCCGAAGCCGAAAACAGCGCCGCCGCGTCGGGCGTGTACGCCAACTTGCCGATCCGTGCTGTGTGCTGCTTAAACTCGTGCGCGAGCTCCGCACTCTCCAGCTCAAACACACGCATCCAGCCTGACTCAAAGCCGACCGCCACATACCCGCCCGTCGGATGAAAGGCAACCGCGTGCGGTACGTCGCCCGGTGCCGTGAACTCGAGCAACTGCTGGCAGTCCGGCAGCGACCAGAGTCGGACCGAGCCGTCACCGGCAACCGTGGCAAAGCTGTCATCCTTGGGTGAGACTGCGAGATCGTGGACGCCCGCTGTGTGCGAACGGAGAAAAGTCGTGAATGACTGGGTCAGAATATCCAGTGCGCCGAGCGAGCCTGCAGCCGTCCCGCACAGAATCTTGAGGCAGTCGTACGAGATGGCCACCGAAGTGACGGCCGACTCGTGCTCAGCCTCGAGGAAAAAGTCGGAAAAGTCGAGCGGCCAGACCCGCAGAAACCCGTCGTCCGAGCCGCTGACACAGTAGCCATCAACAACCGAGAGTGACCGGATGGGACCGTTGTGGAGCTGGTAAATGGCCTCCAACTCAACCGTCGAGTACGCAATCTGGAACACCATGCCCGAGTCGCTCGCCACATACACCCGCTGCCCCAGCACCGCTTCGTCGTCCAGCACCGCACCACCAGCCGCCGGTGGAAGATGCCCGACTTCAAACGCCAGGTCGGTAAAGAGATGCCCAGTGTGTGCGCCTAGCGAGACCGGGCATGACCGCAGGACGCCAGCCTTGAGCCGCCAGAACCGCACGTTGTTAAGCCCACACGAGACAAGTCGGTCGTCGCCAAACGGCGAGAACTTGATGACTCCAACGTGCGGGTCGACGTGCGCTGTCGCCACCACCGATGCAATGCCACCCTGTGCTAGCGCCGACAGTGAAGAGATGTCCCACACCACGAGCTTGGTCTTGCCCGACTTGGCCTTACCCACGCCCGCCAGCCGCGCCCCGGTCCGCGACAGCGTTAGCGCAGACACGTCGCGGTGGTGGCCAAGCAAGACGGCGAGCGACGTGCCGGTCGCAAAGTCCCACACCCGAATGATCGGCTCACTCCCGCCCTGGGCACTCGCCAACAGCCGCCCGTCGCCCGACAGCGCGAGTGCCACCACCGGAGCAGTGTGCCCGGTAAAGTACCGTTGGTGACTCGCCGCCGCAGCAGGCGAAGCGCACACACGGGTGGCCACCACCATGTTGACAGCAGAGTACACCGCCTCGCTTCCATCGGCAGACCAGAGGCACGACGATGGGACGGAACCAGAGTAGCCGATCACCGACGCAAGCGTGCACATTGGGTCCGGCTCGGCCATAATCGACTCGACCGACGGCTCCGGCATTGTCTCCCGCGGAATGATAGTCGCCATGAGTGACTTGGCGTGCGCCCGTCGCGCCTCGACAGAGTCGGCCGCAGCCGATGCTGCTGCCGCAGCTGCGGTGCGTGCAGCGTTAACTGGGATGTTGTTGCGGACAGATGTCCGCGCCCGCGCCGGTGATGCCAGCGCCTCGACCCGCGGAATCGGGACCGGCGTCATCGGCGCCGCAGCGCCCGATCGCGGTCCCGACCGCTGCGGACTCCACGACTCGCCGCCACTGCCGCCGTCCGTCTCTGACGCCCGCTGGCTCGCGCTCGCGCCGTCGGCGCTGCTCGCCGCGGGTACATTTGTACGCGGATGTGCCGGAGGGACCGGGCGCGAGAGCGGGATCTCTGCACCAGACTCGACAAAGTCCTCGGGCGCAACCCCAACGGGGACCGGGAGTCGGTCGTAGGTGTAGAGGTCGTGCCACGACCGCCCCGGTCGCAGCGGCAGTGCCATGTCGCGCGGAAGCGATGTCGGTGAGTAGATATTATACGAGGTAAAGACGTTACGCACCAGGAGTGTCGAGCAGAGCTGGATGGCCTTGAGCGAATGATAGACCCGCGTCGAGTGCATGTCGAGCACCGCCGCGGCGTCAAGAACGAGCACCGTCCACTTGCCACCGGGGATATGACCTGTCGGCAGCTGGATGAGCGACGGCGAGACCTTGATCTCCGAATACATGTTGGAGAGCGAGATGCGGAGCGTGAGCCCGTCTTGCGTCCTCACATCAAAGTGCATGGCGTACACGCTCGCCGCCCGCCGCGGCGCCTTGAACTGCACATACACGTACCGCCCCACCAGATTAAGGGAAGCAGACTTGCTCTTGGGCACTCGGAGGTAGTTGGCAGCAGGCACTGAGCCCGAGAGCTGGAACACCTTGCGCCCGATCGTCTTGTCCACCGCCGAGCCCACCGCCCCGGCCATGTCGGCGCACTTGAACTGGTCGACCTTGAACGCCCGGAACACGTTCACCAGTGGCTCCTGCCACACTACGCACCCCCTCCATACGTACACACACACACATGTATACACACGTATTCCGTCGTTGACGTCAATAAGTCCCTCGGTCGCCCTTCCCGCCCTTCCCGCCCTTCACGCCCTTGCCCTCGCTCTCTCCTCTTGGTCGCCCCAAAAAAGCGCGCCAACCGCAAGTCGGCCAGCAGCCACCTCCAACCACCACCACCCCTTCCTCCCCCTCCCCTTCCTCTTATTCCTCCTCCTCCTCCCCCACACACACGCCCTCTTCACATCACCCAGCATACGTACCTGTGGAGGCACGGTCCAGGTTCTCCATGGCAATGCCTGGATGAGTGTTACTGCCCCAGTCCCAGTCCCCAGCCTCAGCCCTTGCCCTCCCCCCCTCCCCGACCACCCAACCTGGCAAGCCCGCCCACCCAACTTGGCAAGCCCGCCCAATCGGTGCCATCGGCTTGGCCAAGTTGGGCTGTTCCTCCTCGGCCACTCCCCGCCCTGCTATCGTTCCTGCCCTTGTACCTAAGCAAGCACAGGGTGGTGGATTGAAGCTTGTATGGTCCGGCTACACGGATCGATGATGACCATGATGGTCATGGTCATGGTGACGATGACAACGATGGTGATGATGGTGACCGTCGCGATGACTGCTAGCGCAGAATCCCATCCAACTCGCTGTGCTCCATCGAATTATCATCACCGTCAGCCTTGACGTTTAGAGTATGATGATGATGATGATGATGATGATGATGATGATGATGATGACGAGACCAATGTGTGGGACGGTGCTCGGGGTGCGGTTCCAGAGGAACAACATGAGCCAGTCCCCCCCCCCCCCCCCCCCCCCCCCC